GCACAGGAGAAAGATTATTACAAGATTGCCCTGGAGAAAGAGCACATAGCAGCCTCCACTATCTAGGTAGCAGCAGGGTCTGGGGGTTAGAAAGAGAGGTTGCTGGGAGTTCAGGTGGGTCTGGGAGGAGAGGAGGAGGGGCCAGCTGTATGGCGGGAACTCCAGGAATGGGAGGGGGCCCAGGTTTGGGTGGAGCTGAGGACCAAAGGTGGGCATAATTTATGCTTATACCTTGTCTTCCTGAGATCTTGCCTATATTTAGTTGTGCTGGTCTTTATTTTAGTTGGTAGTTTGTTCTAGTTTTAATTTCATTCTCCTTACAGTTAAACCTTGTTGAGTTTTCCTACTTATTTGTCGTCTGGCCACTTAATTGGACTATTTTTTTAAATTATTTATTAGTATTAGATCAGCTATTGATATTGTAAGTATGTTTTTTTGTTTTCTCTTTGGTTGCTTTTTGATAACCAAAACTTTTTCTATCTTACTCTTTTGTATTATTGTGGTAAAATATCAAGAAAATTTACTAGTTTAACCTTTCGTGTGTGTGTTCTGGTCCTGGGACTTGAACTTAGGGCCTGAGCCCTGTCTCTAAGCGATTCTCTGCTCAAGGCTAGCACTCTACCTCTTGAGCCACAGCTCCACTTCCAGCTTTTTAGTAGTTTATTGGAGATAAAGAGTTTCAGGGCCTTTCCTGCCTGGGCTGGCTTCAAACTGCAATCCTCAGATCTCAGCCTCCTATGATTGCAGGTGTGGGCCACCAGCACCTGGCCAGAATTCTGTTTTCTGCATTCATTCAGGCTCTTCCCTATGCTCTGGTTTTGCAGACAGGAAGTCAGTCCCCTGGCCCACCCTGGCTCTTGGCTTCCCTAGCAGGGTTCTATAACCAAATACGAAGTCATTCGTGTGTGTGCTGTCCTGGGCTTGAACTCGAGGCCTGGGCCCTGCCTCTAAGCTTTGTTGCTCAACACTAGCACGCTACCACTTGAGCCACAGCTCCATTTCCAACTCTTTTTCTAGTTAATTGGAGATAAGAGTCTCACAGGCTTTCTTGCCCAGGCTGGCTTTGAACCGTGATCCTCAGATCTCAGCCGTTTAGCAGGGAGGATTACAGGCGTGGGCTACCGGTGCCCGGCATTTTCCGGTAATTTAATGAGGCTTCCTACCCCTAACTCGCCAGCCAGGACTCTCCCGGGCGCGCCGCCTTCCGAATCTGCAGCGCCCCAGCGCCCCCCAACGACGCAGGCCAGAACGGCGACGCTAGCGGCGCCACCGAGCAGTTTCCCACAGTGCCCCGGGGCGCGCGCGGGCTCCTGGGAGTTGTAGTCCGGCCGCCGCGTCGGCGCTGCTGAGGCTGCTGCGGGCTCGGCGCCGGCTTTGTCTGTCTGCGGGCGGGCGCGC